GGGCGGCCACTCCAGCCGCAGACCCTACCACCGCGGCCATCACACTGCCCATGCCTGTGGTGACCATGACTTCAGACCGTGAAGACCCTACAAGCAAGATCTACTGAGATCACCGCCACCACCCAGAGCCAGGCTGTGGGTCTCCTCCCATGTACGGTGAGACAGGCTCCCATTGCGAACTCCCTCCCGTCTGGGACGAGCAGCTGCAGATAAAGATCATCTGGAGTGGTGAGATTCAACATAACAACACTGGTGATTCCACGTAACAACACTGAAATTGGAAAAGCAGAAGCTTGATAGACACAGGCCAGATCTGAGCGGTGAACTGGGCAGTGGTGAACTTAGTGGTGATCTGAACTGCCCTTCACAGTAGGCCAGGGGCAACTGACACTTACTGTGAACAAATTTAACAGACTGCAAAGACAGCTAGAAATCAGAGCTGAAAGAACACTGGACTTAAACAAAAAGTCTCAGAATGTGCTTGATTGGTTCTGTTAGTTTACTGATTTGATACAATTCCTTTTGTGTTTTTCTTTTTTTCTTTTCTTTTCTCTGTAAACCCCATTTTTGTATAGAGGAATAGCATACCAATAAGGAGGTTGGTTAGCTTGTATGTTAGCATCATTGTATGTTTTAGTTTTTTTTTTTTTTTGTATGGGAGTTGGTTAATTTGTAGCCGTGGTTTATTGTTTTTATCTGTTTCAGTTTTTGTGTCTCTCTGCATTTGTTGGTACACTTTTCTGTTTTCCCTCTTACTCCTATCTCTCTCCACCCCCCTCGTCCCCCCCCCCCCCGCCTGCTCCATTCTCTTCCCTCTGTTAACCTCATTTTATTTCAGGGAGTAAACCTACAACCCCACTGCATGGACAGATTCCAAGGCAATGGGAAGTGGGTTTCAGATTATCCATACACCTGTCAGTGGATACCAGGATCTGCAGATAGATGTTGAATCACAGTTCCCCCCTTAAGTAAATCTCAAAACTGCAAAAAGGACTACTCCCAACCTACAATTCAACTCCAGAATTGAACAAAGCAAGAGGATATACATAAAGAAGAATAGGAGATTGAACAAACAGAAGTAAAACAATCGCTCCACCCCTGAATCACAGAATTTAAGAAGATGGTGAAGTGGAGGGAAGGAAAAAGTAGGGAGGAAAAATCTGCACAAATGAAGAAAAACCAAAAGAAAGAATATATGTCTTACACAGACCCCCGGGGAGGTCAGACACTGAGAAAACAGACTTCAGAACACTAACAATGAAGAGCCCCAGA